TAGCTGTCCTGGCAGTCCAACCATGGCCCTCCTGAGGACTGACCTGCGGTTTCTTTCATGACTCTTTGCAGGACTGTTTGCGACTAGAAGGCAGGGGCAGCTGCAGTGATGGTAGGGAGGTGGGCAGTGGGTAGTGCCCATGGGAGCCTGTCTGGGAGACCCGTGCTATGAGCCACGAACTCTGAGTCACATGTTTGAGGGAGGGGGCTTAGCAATGGCGGCAGTCCTGAGGATGGGAGGAAGTGTGTGCTTGCCCAGGAAGGCTGCAGTGCTGGCATTTCCAAGTCCGGAGGAGGAGGATGACACTCCTGTGGGAGGGAAGAGCCCTGGGTTCATCTGCTCAGCTCTGTGCTGGCACTGCCCCGGGGACCCCCAGCAGGATGCTGCACCCCCAGGCTCTGATACGTGGCTCTAGCAAGACTTCAGGCTCAGAACTGACGCTGCATTTGGCCGCTCATACAACCGGTGCTTCTGGGGCTGAAAGCTGCTCACGAAAGCCCCACTTGGAATGTGAATAATTACAGCTCAGTTCCTACAGCAGCTGAGAGCCCTTGTGAATGTGAAAGCCAATATTTTTCCAGACAATGGAGAGGGTGGGAGGATGGTGGGACCAGATACCTGCGCTCAAGATTAAAATATTTACTTCAATTAAGCTTAGGCCATCGTACACTGCATACAAAAGGGCTTTATTTCCTGTCTCCCTGGGTTTTCTCCATTTGGTAACTCAAGTGTGTACCATGAACAGGGATAGAAATAACAGTTTATTTCAGGCTCTCATTAAAGCAAAATTATTTCAAGTTTCTGTGCTTCAATTTATGGTGAATCAAATGGAGGAGTCGAGGCGTGGGATGCAAAAGCACTTACCAGTATTTCCAAAGCAATTGAGTCAGAAAATCAGTAAGTACTTGCCGAGACAGAATTCAGCACAGTGGGCCCCAGGGTCAACTGGCTCCACTGACTGTGTGATCTTGGCAAGTTATTTCACCTCTCTGTGCCTCTCAGAAACCTCATATGAAAATCAAAGTAATCATAGTATTTGTCTCCTGGTGTTGTTTTGTTAGGAGTCAATGAGATGCATGTAAGACCCAGTGTTTGGCACATATTGGGTGGTCTGAAAAGTCATGATGTGGGACCAGCAGATAGCATAATGGCTACATCGCTGAACTCCCATGTAGTTGACCATGGTTTGAGTCCCAGATCCGGTGGCTTAAACTCACGCCGGGTGCATGTGCGTGCGTGCCCAAGATCCCGAGAGGAGAATGGAGGAGAAGGGATTGTGGCATGGCCATCCCCCCTGGGGGGTGATTTCTTGCTTTCTGTCTCTCTGTCTCTGTCTTTCTGGCGAGTGCCTGCGCCCTATAACAAAAACCTCTCCAAAAAAAAAGAAAGTCATGATGCATTTTTGCATCATAGAAAAATACATCATGACTTTTCCAGCACCCTAACAGTAAGGAATGAGTACTGTAATGATGACATTATTGATGGTTAAGATTGTCACTACTGGAGGAGCCAACAGTTGGTATAATGGTTAAGGCACTGTACTCCCACGTGGCCAACTGTGGTTTGAATCTCAGACCTGATGGCTTGAAAATCACTGGGCATGTGTGTACATGTGTCTAAAATCTCAGGAGGAGAATGGAGGAGAAGGAATTGCTGTGTGGCCATACCACCAGGGATGTGATTTCTCACTTTCCCTCTTACTGTCTCTCTCTGGTGAGTGTACCTACCCTATAGCAAAAAAACTTAAAAAAAAAAAAAAGATTACTACTGGAATGGTGATTGAGATTATTACCACTGTGGTAGCCCTCCCTTCAGAAAGGATATGAGACAGCTGCTATGGGGACATCCTCAGCACCTGAAACAATGCTTGGTATATACAAGGCACTCAATAAGTTTTCAAATGAGCAAGTGAATGAATAATAAATGAGTGAGTAAATGGTTCAGTGACCCATCTTAGTGGGAACTCTGGACTAGACCTCAATTCTAATTCCAACTCTATCACTAACTAGCCCTTGGAAAATCACTTCATTTTTCTGGGCCTTTGGTTTTCCCATCTATAAATGGTTGATGGTTACCATGGCTACTTCCAATGCTAAAATTCTGTTGTTCTAAAAAAATAATTTAAGTGTATAAGGGAAATAGAGATATAAGTGCTTTATATATTCCCTAGTTTAGGACAGTGAGTTAAACAGTGTCTTATGTCAACAGTAGAGACAGAGTTTTGAAAAGAATCAATCTTTTAAGTACATTGAAATATAAGGGCTGGCCCTCTGGCCTAGTGGTTAAGAGAGCCAGGGCCCACATGGCTGACTGTGCAGTTCAAGCTCTGGCCCCCGTAGCTTGAAAAACATGCCAGGTGCATGTGCGTGTGTGACCCAAATCCCACCAGGCCCTATTGAGGAGTATTTTATCCCTTTCCCCTCTGGTAAGCATATGTGCCCTCTGGCAAAATAAAATAAAAAATATGGTAAGTTCAATATTTTTTAAATTTTAATTGCACATGCAATGGGTGAATCTGTTCCCCTGATAGACTTTTTAAATGTCTTTTTTTGTCATAATGACAGGTGATGGCAGTGGGTTTATCCAAATGAGGCATAGGTGAGGCTGGAGTGCCAGGTATGAGGGCAAGGAAACAAAGATTTTTCAGTAAAAAATTAAGCATCTATAGGAAACCAACATCTGAGTGTAAAACAAGTCCCCAGATGCCCTCTTGTAGGCTTGGCTGGCATTACTAGCAGTCGCATGAGTTGGGTAAATGTTAGAGCCACCACTGGTGGTGGCACTGCGAGGCTGCAGGCAAATCCCAGTGTGGGTCTTTGCCAAGAACAGCCAAACCCTGCCTCCTTAGCAGTGGCATTAGCCACAAGAGAACGTGCTAGAGCGTGTGCTCATGTGACTCGTGGTCCTCAGGAGGGGCACCAGCTTTACATTCCATGCATGGTACTTCACAACCTGGCTAGGCCTTTGGACCCAGGTGAGTTGGAATGACACTATCTATACAAAATTCATAGTCTGCATCTGGTGAGCCTTTTTTGAGTTTTACATTTGGGCAATAAAAAATAAGGCCCAGGACAGCATTGTCAAAGCAGCTGCCGCTGCTGGCAAGTCACCAAGACCAGGCCTGGCAGGGCGGCTGACATACCAAGCTTCCTGCTTGAGGTTGTCCCCAATTCCACAAACTGTCTGTGGTTCCAGACTTTGGGTTAGAACAGACACCCCTTTATCAGATATGATGGAGAACTGGCTGCTTGGTTCATGACAGAAGTTGGTAAGTAGGAAATTAAAAAAATGATAGATGGCATACTTTAAGTACTTCACACAAATTTAATGTATACAAAGAAATCTTTGCTTAACAGCCTTTCAATAGGATCAAAGGTTATGGGTGCTCATAATTTGAGTTTATCTCTTAAGTAAACCACACTCAAAATAAACCATCCCACTTTGCTATCTGTAAAATGCATCAAGAATTTAAAGATATTTTTTTGGAGCCTCCAGAATATTTGTCTCTCCTAGAATTTTATTATTTTTCCCAATTATCTCACCCCTACCAAATTTGCCAATGATTATCCTGGTCATCTGTCCTTTAAGTTGCTCCAGATTATTGAGTCCTCATAGAAACAACTTTCTCTCCTTCCAGTCATTTGCTTGGTATTTGTAGTATTTAGTGAAATGACAGGTGTGCCTGATATAAGCAGATTTGAGAATGACCACAACAGACAATGTAACTGACGAGAGTAGAAATGGGGGCAGACCAGAGAGTAGGCTGCCAGCTGCGAGCCTCAAGATCCCCAAACATCATAGGCTGCCATAAGGGCAAACAGAGCAAGTTGGTTAATCCGCAAGGAGTTGACCGGAGAGAGATCTTTAACATAGTATATTCAAACAACTAGGGCCTGTTAATTTCAATATTGAGAAAAAACCCTCTATGACTTTCCCTCTTGGGCATTCTATTGTTGATTTATACCATTCATCTACTATTCATCCTGAATCGTTGCACTCAACACTGAGCTGAATCCTTGGAGATTAGTAGGAGAGTGCCAGGTAGAAGAAAGAAGAAAGACTTTCCTGGTAAGGATACGTATGCAGAGGAATGGAACTGAAAGTCATTTAGTGGCCTTCAATGCCTGAGTGAGGGAGGAGAGGCTGATGAGAGAAGTGGAGACTAGACCCCAAAGAACCATATTTGCTGCCCGAAGGAACCCAGTCTTGCAGTCCCAATGCGAGACTTTTAGGCCTGGGAGTAATATGATCACATTTATGGAAGTTCACTCTCAGTGGAAGCTGTTTCTGGTAAAGCAGAATGAAAAGAAGGAAGGGGAGTTGTCAGGATTATAAGTTAGGATCATCTGATCATGACCTGTAGGAAGGCTCCTAGAGGTCAGGTGTCATGACTTCCACTTAAAAACAACTTTTTCACGCAGCAGTGCCGGGCACATAGTAAGGGATGGATGGATGATGATGGATGGATGGATGATGGTGGATGGGTGGATGATGGTGGATGGATGGATGATGGTGGATGAATGGATGATGGTGGATGGATGGATGATGATGATGGATGGATGATGATGGATGGATGGATGATGGTGGATGGATGGATGATGATGGATGGATGGATGATGATGGATGGATGGATGATGGTGGATGGATGGATGATGGTGGATGGATGAATGATGATGGATGGATGGATGGATGGATGATGGATGGATGGGTTTATGATTCCACCTCACTGCTGGTTTTGAACATGCTGTGACTTATCTTCTTCCCTCAGCTATCTATCTCTGTAAGAGGACAATGCAGAATAAGGCGAGGCTGGAACTGGCAGATTATGAAGCAGTAAGTATTATTATTTTCCGGTCTAGTATGGAAGGGAGTAAAATCATATCTGCAGCTCTGTTTAAGCTGCTTTTCCTCCCCCACCCCACCTCCAGGCCCCTTTAGACAGTGGAAGGGAAGTTTTTCTGTTTCTTCTCCTTTGTTCTCAGCTCCTCTTACCATCACAGTAAAAGTATCTTTAGAGAACTATAACTCTCATAACTCAAAAATTTAAAAAATTAACAACTCAACTTAAAATTAGGCAAAAGACTTGAAAAGATGTTTTACCAAGGAAGACAAAAAGATGGCAAATAAGCACATGAAAGATGTTCAAGACCATTAGCCATTTAGGAAATACAGATTAAGTCCATGGTAAGATTTTGGTATACACCTATTAGAATGGCTAAAATTAAAAGGACTGTTAATACCAAGCAATGAGGAGGATTTGGAACAAGTGGCACTCTCCAACCTTGCTGGTAGCAATGCAAAATGATATAGCCACCCTGAAAAATGACTGGGTGGTTTCCTAGATAATTAAGCATATATTTACCATATAACCAAGCAATCCCATCCATATGTACCCTGAGAAATCAGAACTTAGGTTTACACATACACCTATAGATAATATCTACACCTGCTTTATCTTTAATTGCCATACTTTGAAAGCAACCCAGATTCACTTTAACAGATTGGGACCAGCAGTTGGCATAATGGCCATGTCACTGGACCCCCATGTAGTCAACTGCAGTTCGAGTCCCAGATCTGGTGGCTTAAACTCACACCAGGCACGTGTGCGTGTTGTGCCCAAGATCTCGAAAGGACAATGGAGGAGAAGGGATTGTGGTGAGGCCATCTCTCCCTGGGGTAATTTCTCACTTTCTGTCTCTCTGTCTCTCTTTGTCTTTCTGGTGAGCGCACACACCCTATGGCAAAAACCTCTCCAAAAAAAATGGTAAAACAAACTATGGTACATCCATATGATGGAATACTATTCTGTGATAAAAATGAGTAAACTATTGATACATACAACCACTTGAATGAGTATAGATGACATCATGTTGAATGAAAGAAGCTAGTCTCAAGGTATTTATTCCATTTACATGACATACTTGTAAAGATAAAACTATCATAAGAATACATATCAATGACTGCCAGGGGTTATGAGTGGTAATGAAACTGTTCTAAATCCTGATTGTAGTTATAAAAATATATACATGTATTAAAATTTGCAAAAGAATAAAAGCCAAATTTGCTATATAATTATTTTTAATATTGAAATTAAAAATGGAGTCTTTATACCCAGTCCACTGTACTTGGGAGTAAAAGCAGAGTATCAGGATAAAATTCATGATCCTAAGGCCAGCAGGTGGTGTGGTGGTTTAGGCACTGGGCTCCCACAGGGTTGACCACAGTTCGAGTCCCAGACCTGGCAGCTTGAAAATCATGCCAGGTGCATCTGCATGCATGCCCAAAATCTCAGGAGGAGGATGAAAAAGAAGGGACTGCAGTGTGACCATCTCTCACTTTTTATTTCTCACTTTCCCTCTCACATCTCTCTCTTCCTCTCTCTAGCAAGTCCAGACCCCTGTGGCAAAAACTTAAAAAAAAAAAAAAAATCCTTCTAAGCAGATCCTGGCATGGTTGTTCTGTGGCTCTGAGCATCCTGGGAGCTCAGTCCTGCCTCTGTCTGCCTTGACACCCCTCTTTCAGAAGGGTGCTGTTTTATTCTTTGCGCACCCAGATAAAAAGACATGACCACATCACTTTCCTAACTTGACCTTTGAGAAAGACCCAGATTACTGAAGTATATGTCCCCTCCATCTGTATAAGGAGTATACATACGGAGTTTTTGTCCCCTCCATCCCCTGTATTTTCCATGTTTTAGAAAAGGTCCTACATAGAAACAAGACAGCATCAATTCCTGAGGTCTCTCATTAGTTTTCTTTTCTCTTGACCTACAATGCTCTACTCTAGTATTTGTGAAGAATATGGTATGAAGATGGTCTTTAAAAATTCTGAATAAAAATGGTTAGAAACTAAAAAAGAAATTGTTTCCAAAATGCAGTAATTTTATTAAAACTGTCTGACTATGTATGCTTTTCTGGTAAAAAACATAAAAGTTAAAGCAGCAAAGAGATAAGATTATCTGTAATCCCCCTAAATTTTTTCTGTAATACATTTTTTCTAACAAAAATAAATAGGATAATATCATGAACATTAGTATGTAAGCTGTTTCTTGCCCTCATCATATACTGTACATGTCTTGGGAATCTTCCCATGTCAGTAATAATCTACATTTTCGTTTTTATAGACTGCTAGTACTCCATGGTATGCGCATGCCGTAGTTCATACAACTACTCTCCAAGCAATTGACTCTTAGGCATTTCTAGCTTTGCTTCCTATAGACAGTGGAAGAGTCCAAGGGGCAGTTTTTAGAAGTACTGTAGCCCAAGCCTGGTAATAACATGTGGTGCTCTTCAACTGAAGTTCCTTTTATATTAATAATCTACTAATGAGGGTAATCAATTAGTGTTGGCATAAGCTCTATGGAAATACATAACATAATGTGGGCTCCAGCCTGGCATTTATCAGAATTAGGAGAATCATTAGGAAACCTGTCAAACTCCTCTCTTCTCTGTCCTGTTGTTCCACCGGGTAAGTCTACAGACTTAGAGAAAACACTTCTTCCCTTTTCCTCTAAAGGCAACCCTTGATGACTTTTCTTTCTTTCTGTTCTGGGGTTCTCCCTTCATAAACATCACAAAAGTAGGCGCTCTGTTTGGTCCTCTTTTGAATCTTGGCTTTTAAAAATACTAATGCCAGGTCTTCTGGGTTCTTTCCTGTGACCTTCCCAGCTCTCTGCTGGAAGACGAGTCCTGAGCAATCCATTCTTGGTTTTGCTCTCAGAGATACCCAGCAGCTTGCAAAGACTTCATCGTTCCTTCTCCAATAGCCACAAACCATTCTCCATATTTTCCGTATGCTTCATAACAAATGCCATGTGAATTGTGTCCTTGTAAAACACACAAGGATAGAGGAATCAAGTGAACCATAGAGACTGCCGACTTAATGGATGTATAAATGAATATTAATAGTTCAGCTGTATACAGCAAGGTCTGGGTCAAAGTTGCACTGGGTTCGTGTCCAGTGGATGTAAAGTGGGGCCCTGCTATTTCATTGGGAGTAACCAAAATGGATGGCTGCCTTGGAATAAGCATAGGTGTCGATGTGCTAATTTACAGTGATTAATACCTTCTTGTTGATTTTCATTTCTCATTAGGAAAACTTAGCAAGACTCCAGAGGGCCTTTGCACGGAAGTGGGAATTCATCTTTATGCAAGCCGAAGCACAAGTGAAGTAGGTGAACTCAATAGAGACCCTTTCAGAGAGAAAAGGACTTCCTGAAAGAAAAACATTTAGAGGTGGTGTGAGAGTACGATCATCGAAGTGAGATTTCTAGCTGGTGTTATTCTCTCTAATCTCTTCTGACAGTAACTGAGTAGAAATTAAGGTCAGAATGGATAAGTTCCATCTTTGTAACCAATGTCCCTCTCAAATAATTTCAGAAGTATATGCTTCAGCAGACCAGGGGGATCCTCCTAGATGCAGAGCTCTGGTTAGAAGAAGGTACACCTATTTCCCCCAAAGATTTCCAATTATCATTCTTGCTCAGAGAAAAAAAAAATCAGACCCACTTCGCTCATAGGACTAGAGATTTTGTCTTCATAGAAACACACATTGGAGTGTTAAGGAAGACAAGTAGCCTCTCTCCCCTTCTCCCCCCACAGGGAGGAGTTAATAACCAATTGAAAAATATGGTACAGAAGATGGACAATTAAAATCCAGCGTTAGATTATTACACTGATTAAAAATCAGGTCATAGGACATGATTTTGGATCTATGGCCACAGATCCAGATTAAACTTTTCTTCCTGGCAAAGGTGGGTATCTATAGACCTCCCCAGCCAAGGCAGAGTCGACCTCTGAAGCTCACTGCGTGCAGAGAGCAGATATTCTGAGAGGCTGGCCCAGACAGGGGCCCAGATAGAACCAGCCTGAATGGTCTCATTTTTTTTCTCAAATCTACCAGTAAGTTAAATTATTCTTATCTTAGAACAAAAGATGAAGAGAGGGAAAAGTTGGAAGTGTTCTTCCCATATTTTTCCTTCCCAATATACAGTGTAAGTTCCTTCCTCTTTAAGGACACAAGGGGAGTGGAGAACAAATGTCCTCCAGCCCACAGACATTATTATCAGCCAGATCCATTTAATTCTGGGAAGTTGAATTGCTCAGGTCAAATCCTCATTGTTGTGTGACGGTGTCTGCATTAGCCAGGAGCATCAGCAGAGGTAGTGTGGCAGGGGATGCTGAGCTGGGTACCTTGTGACGGGGATGTGAGCAAGCAGCAGTTGTTGTAGCTGTAGCCACAGCAGGAAATGACCTGAGGTCATCTGGTCAGTGTGTGCAGGCCCTCATTCTCTTGCCTGCTTCCACAGTCTTTGCTTGTCTTCGTCTGGTATTGCGCTGCTCGTAGAAATGCCTGAGCCTGGGTGATTTATAAAGAATAGAGGTTAATTTAATTCCCAGTTCCAGGAGTGAGTCTAAAGGCATGAGGCTGGCTCATAGCCAACAGAAGTAGAGAGGATGGTGGGTGAGTGCATAGAGAGTGTTCCCTTTATACGGTCCACTCTCAGGAGGACTAACTCCTTCTCATGGGAACTAGAACTCATTTGGTAGCAACTGAAACAACATTCATCCATTTGTGGGGCAGATGTTGCCATGATCCAGTCACTGCCCACTAGGCCTTATTCCCCCAGTACATTACTCTGGGACCAAATTCTAAAACATGAACCTTTGGAAGACAAACCACTATCCAAATCATGGTGCCTTTCCTTACCCATGATGCTGGTCACCTGGTGACCACTTCAGTACTCCCAGCTGTCCCCAGGGGTGGTGGCACCGGGCACTGGGTGCTAAGCGGCAGTCAGGAGCACCCAAGAAGTCGAAGGTAGGAGGGTGGTGGGAAGTGGAAAGGAAGCTGGGGTTTGCTAGGACTGAGACAGAAGAGAGCCCGTGTGAGAAGCAAAGAAGGGTGCTCCTTTGTTCTTCCAGAATCAACAGCGTCTCATAATATGAAAGAAGGCCCAGTTGTCACTTCATATATATATTGTATTTCTCTATTAACTTTTTTGATTAAATGTATGATTACCTTATAATTGTGAGCCATTTAAGTACACAGTGATTACCATAAAAATCATGGGGTGATTATAGGTTTATTTTAGTCCAGTAAACTAAAGTGTTCCCAAGAGAGCCAAGAACCAGAAGTTACATGGCAATTAATTTGACTTACTTTTTACTTAGAGAGATAATATGAGGTAATACATGCTTTGAAAAAGAAAAAAAAAAAAAGCCTCTTTCCTCTGCTGCTGATCAGGACATCGAAAGAATCTGTCTTTGTCACCTGTAATTTCCTTTTTGCAATTTGTGTCTTCACCAGCCAAGGCTGCTGATATTTGCCTTCTGGATCTTGTCACACGAGAAGGCCATTACTCTGCCTTTAGGAAGCCAGATGCTTTAAGTGACTTTTAAAACATGTAATTGTAGCATTCTAAAGACATTTCTACTGACTCCTTATCTAAAGCGAATTTTCAAATTCAACGAGGGAACACTGGGAGGCCAGTGGTTCTATTCCTTCCTGTAATTTGTGTAGTCAGTGTTCAGTAACCACTTTGATGGTGGGGGGAGGGCAGGGGAGCATGTCAATGAATAATTCAGTTCTTAATAATCCAAATCCTAATACAATAGACAGCTGCATTCTTGTTCTTCCTGTAGGCCCACCATGTTCATTATACATATATGCAATCTGCAACCTAGCCTAAAACGAGCTCCCTTACCATGTGTGGAATTTCTGAGGTTTCCGGGAAGGAACTATATACTCATATTTCGCAGCTCTGCAGAGAGCAGGAACCACAGTGGTGCCAATAGCCTTGCATGCATTTTGCTCCCAGAAATGGAAGCAGAGAGTTGGAGCAAGAGTCAGGAGATAAAAGCATTAAAAATTGTGATGGACACTGGAGACAAAGTGGAAAGAGAGTATGGGAGGGGAAGAGCGCAGGGAAGGAAGACACAAATAAGGTTTTTTATCTGTTGAGGAGAATGTGTGTAATAGTCTCAGCTGGGCTGGACTGAGGTGGCTAGCATGCTGGGTAAAGTCTCTTCACAATCTAAATGACGTAAAGCTATTTAATGAATGAATAATAATTTTTTAAAGTTTTATTTTTTTTCAAAAACAGAGTACAAGCCTCTTATTTCCTCTCTGTACTTTTTCAGGATTGATCGGAAAAAGGACAAGACAGAAAGAAAAATTTTGGATAGTCAAGAACGAGCATTTTGGGATGTCCACAGGCCAGTGGTGAGAAAATTCTACTTGGTTCTCTGGGATTTTTTTTCTTTTTCTTTTTCTTTTTTTTTTAATTCTTATTTCCTTCTTTGGAAAGCAAAGACTGTCTTTAGCCACCAGGTGTCTCTTTAAGAAAATGACTAAACTTTGTGAATATGGATTTGCCAATCACTTACATAATCTCAGTAGATTTTCTGGAATGCATGTCAGCTCCACCTTTAAAAATGATCTATCCATGAAAATACAGAATTGGAAATGGGGTGGGGGGCACTATGGGAATTCTACCAGGTGAACTTTGGGTCCCAGAAGTTTATATTCCCCCAAATCAATGATTTCCATTTCCACTGTAGTTTAACTGTAAATCTTAAACTATTCTCTTTCAAATGCAGCTAGTTCTTGTTATTTGTGGTAATTATGTCCTATAAAGTCTGTAAACTGAATTAGTGAATTTTGAAGCATCGCTCCTGGGGGAAATACAGGCTTAGGTGCTTACAAGCTCCTGGTTATAGCATTTTTGTAAATCGATCAATAAACCCAGAACCATGTTGCATGTGTGTTTCTGTATAAAGACATCATATTTACTATATACTGTTGATTCCCCCGGATTGAACACAGAGCCAACAGCACTGTACCTCAGGCCTGAATGGCATGTCACAGGTATTTTCTCTGTAAGGTCCATCACAGCCTTTTTGGGCTTAGGAACACTAGACAGCACTGTGCCCAGGGCCATTTTAAACAACAAAAGCACAACAATATAGAAAATTTGGCACTAAATAATCCTGAAATAGACTGTTTACAGAATGAGGTCTGAAACAAGAAGGCTTAGGGTCACCGGTCATCCTCAGCTGAGACCATGCACATATGCCAACTCAACATTTGTGCTAGTCTATTTTGCATGCCATGAAATGGTCATTAAAGTGCCATGTGTGCTGATTTGGGGGTTACATATGAATTTCAGCAAATAGGTGAATTCACAAATACTAGATCTGTAAAGAATGAGGCTCAACTATATTTCTAATTTCATATTATTAAAGCACACCTCACATTTCCCTCATGAAATGGAACTAAAAATAGATGAACTATTTCAGCCTTCTTAAAAAAAATGATTAACTGCAAGAACAATAAATTAGTTTCCCATCCCAGTATTGGAGGCTTTTCAGATGGTTAGGTATGTGAAATAACAAAGACTGTGGCTGAAGTAATCTTGCCACTTGAATAATAAGTTTGCTCATAAAAACCGTACACTATATCTCCGACGTATCATCATTATATTATTAGGTAAGCTTTTACATTTCATATGAGAACTCCATGGAGGAGCACATATCACGGCAAAATGGAAAAAAAAAAATCATGTGTGCTCTGCAATGGAAAAGATAAAGATTGGTTGTGATGGTGTTACTTGGGCTAAACTGTGAAGAGTAATTTTCACTTAGTAATTTATATGACCTTTTTTTCCTCAGCCAGGCTGTGTGAACACAACAGAAATGGATATCAGAAAATGTCGACGTTTGAAGAATCCACAAAAGGTTAAAAAGGTTCGCTAGTTTGGCTGAATTAAAACTTCTTGATTTGTGAGGCTAGCAGGTAGCATGGTAGGTGCTGGACTCGCACATGGCTGACCACAGTTTGAATCCGGGACCTGAAAGCTTGAAAATCACACCAGGCCCATGTGCATGCATGCCCAAAATCCCAGGAGGAGAATGGTGGCGTGACCATCCTCCCCAGAGGGTGATTTCTCACTTTCCCTCTCACTGTCTCTCTCCAGCAAACACGTGCCCTCTGGTAAAAAAAAAAAAAAAAAAAAAAAAAAAAAAAAACATTTTGGGACCAAAAAAACCGTACCTCTCACTGGCCACAAATAACCCTTCCATCTCTGAGACTTTTCGTAACTTGCTATTTATAATCCTACCACATTTTGTCTTTGGAAACCACTTCATTCATTCGCTCTACAAACCTTGAATGTCTGATGTGCGCTTGGCGCTGTGCTTGCTGCCAGAATACAGTAACAGGTCCTCCTGAGGCCCGTAGTCTGGCAGGGCATTAAACAAAATGACAGGCAACCAGGCCCCTGAACACTCCATTAGGGCAAGGACAGGATGGCTCAGGAGCACCCAGGCGGGGCAGCTAATCCACACTTGGGAACTTCCAGGACTTCTGAAAGCAAACTCAAGTGTGCAGAAGGGTAAGTATTAATAGCAATTGGTTCTGGGGATGTGGCAGAAAAGAAAGGAAATTAAAGAATGAATGAAAAAAAAAAAAGGAAAACCCACAGATAAAATGAGCTTGGTGTTTAGAAACAAAGGGACATCTTTTAGTAAGCCGGATCATACTATCTTGAATCACCATCTTGCCTAACTGAATGACCCAGTGACCATTTGTGTTTCACTTTACTGAAAGAAGTAGGGACCTTGGCACACCCATGGGTGCTACACCCAGGCATGTTACCATCCATACAGCCCACCCTCACATGGCACCAAGGTCTATATTGTGGGAGAACATGGCTGTACTCTAGAATATTAATTTTGAAAGGTTAGAAGTGTCCTCAGTCACCCTATTGTCACAACCATTGTTCTCTCTGTCATCTATATGTATGTGTAGATACATATATACTCACATATACATACGTGCATATACATAAACACACATATACACACATATAAATACACAAATGCACAGATGTATGAGAGCCAAGACATACACCTGTTTGTCTTACGAATAAGCTCCTTGAATCTCCTTATATTTGTTCTTCACTAGGATGACAATGTCAAATATAATGTATTTAAAACATCAGTGTTAAAATGGCCTCATTTGACCTTTAAGGACTCTCTAATTCAAATAATGGAGAATTTATTTAATTTTATTTATTATTATTACTATTATTTTTAATTTGCTGTGGGATAGGTTTACTCACCAGAGAAAGAGACAGCGAGAGTGGGAGAAAGTGAGAAAACAAGCCTCCAGGTCCAGGACTGAAACTGAGGTCAGCTACTTGGTAGTCCAGTCCCTTAACCACCATGCTACCTGCTGGCCCAGATTTTCTCCTTTTAATCCTTTTTGGTGTGTATTTATTTGTGTATTTAAAGTTACACACATACTGTAACTCCAATGTAAGAAAAATAACAAGGGACCAGCGGTTAGTGTAATGGCTTTGTTGCTAGACTCCCATGTAGTCGACCGTGGTTTGAGTCCCGGACCTAGTGGTTTAAACTCACGCCGGGCACGTGTGCATGCGTGCCAAGGATCCCAAGAGGAGAATGTAGGAGAAGGGATTGTGGTGTGGCCATCACCCCTGGGGGGTGATTTCTAGCTTTCTGTCTCTCTGTCTCTCTCTGACTTTCTGGCAAGCACACATGCCCTATGGAAAAAACCTCTCCAAAAAAAAAAAGAAAGAAAGAAAAGAAAGAAAGAGGGACCAGCAGTTAGCATAATGGCTATGTCGCTGGA